GGCAGAGAGGTAACGAAGTTATAGGGCAGCCTGAAACAAGGATAAAGTATAAACAATTTACGGAAATGCCAGAGAGCCCTAATGACGAAGTTGTAATCTCTTATGGCTCTCGAAAGCCAAACAGTGGCAGGGAGGAGAAGTCTGCTAACGTTACTAGTTTAAGTTCAGAAGCAAAAAGAGAACATCGAACAATGGTTGGACTTGGTACCAGAGAAGATGAATATTCGAGGAACACTCACAAGGTATCTGAAGCATTGAAAGTTCAAGAGATCGATGCCAAAAAGGCCTCCATATCTCAGAGGCTGTCTGAAACTAGAATGAAGAAAGAGGAAGGATGTTCAACTGATGTCATTACTTCAAATGATGATGCAGAAATGAAACAGCAGTCTGACCAGGCTACCATGCTAAAGGACAAAAGAAGAAAATCCCAACAATTGACAAAAAAGGGAAGCAGTTCCATTTCAACGATGCAATCAGATAGTAGGATTATAAAACAAGAAGAGAATGTGAACTTAATGTATGGCTCATTTACAGAGTCCAAAGATCAACACTTTCAAACACATGCAGAGAACTTTGGAAGAACAGATGTCAGAATTGGAGCTCAACAAATGACTAATGAAATATTCACCCATTCAGGTGGTTTAATTGGCGCAAAAGATGGAAACAAGACAAGATCAGAGACACTGATGACACCTCCATCTTCTCAGTTAGCAGCAAGAGATGAATCGCACATTGAATCAATGAGTGGGCTCATGTTTGAGGAGGTGCCTGATGGAAGTTTAGTAAGTGGCTCTACTGCATTACATAAACATGTCCTAGGGAGGTCCCCATCCTTGCATCATGAAAAATATGGAGGGACCAAGAACGATAAAGCTAATGAACAGCCTTCTATGTTCATCTCCAATGAAGATGAAATTGGTTCAGCTGAGCAATTACAGAAATCTTCCGCACACTATGTTAGTGAGTTTGCTGAGAAGGCAAGGCATGAAATTTCAACTTCTGAAATCCAGGAGGAGAAGAAAACTTATGAATCTGAGTTTGTGCGCGAGGAGGAGCAAAGCGACCGAAAGAGTTCAAGTCAATATGTTTCTCTAGAGTCTGAATCTGAAGAGCATCACTCAAGGCATCCCTCTAGTGGTTCTAAAACAAAGGGGCCGTCAGATGAAACATGGGAGGTTGATGAACCATCTGTTCAGGATCATTCTAAGACAGGAGTACAAGACGATGCAAGCAAACCCGAGAATGCAATTGTCAAGAGAGCAGGCAGGTCCTTGTGGAATATCATTGGTGATATTGTTCGTTTGAAGTGGTCTACACGTTCTGAAAGCCATAGCACAGGTGGAAAGTCAGGTGGGGTTTCACCCAATCAGTCTACAAGTAGCAATGCATGGTTTTCTGGTCACGAAGCTGAAGAAGATGGAGTGAGTGGAAGAAAAGAAAAAATGTTGACAGAAGAACCTGCATCCATCCACCAAAAACAAAAAAAGACTAGCACTCGAAGTAAAGAAGACAGCTCCAGTACCTTAACTGTAGAGGCTTATGCAAAACCTGTAGGAGTGGATACACTATACTCTTCAACTGCCCTCGAAAGTCGTTCAGCATCTATGACCATTTCTTTTCCTTCCATTGAAGAAACTTCCAAAAGTAACTTTGAAGGATCCTCTTCTGGTGCTCCAGTATCAGAGTCCTTAATACCATTGCCTGCAATGCGTCTCCGAAGATCTCCCATTGTGAAAGAAATTGCTGAGGCTGCAGAAGCTGGTTCATCTTGTAGTGACACAAGTAGGCAACCAGTTTCCACTGATTTGATGGAAAAATCAAGGCCAGAGGTGGATGAGAAATTGAAACAAAGGAAACTTCAGAGGAAAGACCAAATCTCAAAAGATAGATTTGACGAATGGGAAGAAGCATATAGAGTTGAAGCAGAGCAAAGAAAAATTGATGAAATGTTTATGAGGGAAGCACTTTTGGAAGCCAAAAAAGCTGCTGACAACTGGGAGGTGCCTGTTGGGGCTGTGCTGGTGCAGGGTGGAAAGATAATTGCTCGTGGATGCAACCTGTAAGTTATGCTTTCTTTTGCTTTACTTTGTATGTTAAATGCAATTGATTATATTCTCTGTAATTGTAAACGTTTCAGGGTAGAAGAGTTACGTGACTCCACTGCCCATGCAGAAATGATCTGCATACGGGATGCTTCAAACGTGCTCAGGACATGGAGGCTTTCAGTAATTTCTTTATCTTTTTCAATTTAACTTAGTCTTTCTACTCAAAATCTAGTACAGTGTCCTCAATTTCTTTGCAAAAAAAGTCACAATATCATTTGCTCA